AAATTGCAATAATATATATTTCATTATTATATACGTATATTACATATTGGACATTTAAAAATAAAAAAAAATATTAATAATGTAATAATAATAATACAATAACTTTTTAATAACTGCACAAAAAAATAAAAAAAATTGCTTTTTTTTTTTTTTTAGTTTTTAATATTTATTTTGTTGCTATTTTCTTTTATTAACTCATCTTCATGCCTGACTGCAGCAGCGTTTGACTTTCACTTGAATACCCACGCTACGCCCACGCACCACGCCCACGTGGATCGAACTATGAGCCATTCGTATTAGTTGCCCCTGTCACACGGTCATCCTCATCGCCGTCGTCGTCGTCATCATCAAATGTCAATTGTTTGCAAGGCGGCGGGACGAGAGCCGAAAAGAACAACAACAACAACAACAGGCCGAGCGTGTTGCATGCTCGCGCGTACACGGGAGGCATGCAGCGCGTTGCGTCTGCCCCGCTGTCCCGCTGCCCCACAGCCAACGCAGCGAGCGCTGGGAACAGCAACAACAGCAACAACAGCAACAACAGCAACAACAACAACAACAACAATAAAGACTACAACAAGCAAGCGGTCCATGACTAAAAAGTTTCTCAAGCCTTGGATTGGGATCGTGCGTCATGTGTGTGCGTGTGTGTGCGTGCACATATATGGGGCATACAAATGTATGTAGATATACATGTATTTGTGAATTTTGTGTAGTTGCCGTCATCATGAAACAAATTTGGTTGCTGCTCGTTCGCTTCGATCTGTTCGGTCTGTTGAGGATGGCCAAGGAGGCGGATCGGTGGAGTGAGCAGAGGAGTTGCTGCTGCTGCTTCTGTTGTTGTTGTTGCGTTTGCTAACAACTGCATTCGAAGCTCGAAAGCGCAACGTTTGCCGAGCGAGCAAAACAAAAACGACTTGAAAGCATTTTGCAGTTGAGCCGCCGTCGCTGCTCCTGCTGCTGCTGCTGCTCCTGCTGCTGCCGCTCTTTCGTGGACTTCATCATCTTTGGGGCAGCAGCAGATTGGCCGGGCAGGCAGTGGCGAGACGCGGAAGCGGACGCAATGGCAATGGCAATTTAATGCTGACGAGCGTCGCGTCGCGTCGCGTCGGCCGTTTGTTTGCTCATTTGCCGACGCAGATAAGAAATTTGCGATTGCTGGCAGAGAGCGACGCAGGCCGACAACGACCAATTGGGAAAACTAGAAAAGCAACAATTTGATTATCCGGCCGTAGCCGTAGTTCCATTTCCAGGTATTGCCAAAGCGCATGCCTTATCAATACACCAAGCAATGGGAGTCGGAACACGGGATGAGCAGAAAAGCGATCGTGTTCGATATCGAAAACTGCGCTTAGAATTTCGTCCTGTTGCGATTGCCCATCGCGAATCATTGGGGCTGCTGCCGGTGCTGCTGCTGCTGCTGCTGCTGTGGCCTGCTCTGGGCATTGCCTTTGGCAGTGCCGCCGAGAACAAATGGTTGTCCGACCAACTGGACGGCCGGCCAATGGGCCCCTAGCTGGACCAGGAGGCAGTTGGCCTGGCTGAGCAAAAACGCACAGAATATCAACTCAAAGCGAAGACTGCAAAACAGAAGCACGCGCGGAATGTGAAAAGTTGGTTCCCATGACTCCATGGACGGAGGCGCTGTTCAAAGACACCGAAATTCGTCGTCGTCGTCGTCGTCGTCGTTCGTGGGTTTTGTCTGTCGTTTTGTATTGTTTGCTGTTGTTGTTGCGAGTCGGAGACTCAGTCGGAATTGGAGGCTGCTCTCAGTCTCTCTCTATCTCTCTCTCTCTCTCTCTCTCTCGTTCTCTCTGTCTCTCTGCTCACCCAGCTGGGGGCAGTTGTTGCTTTATTTTGCAGCGTTTATCAGCGATTTGGAAGCATTCAACATGCTGTTGCAAAACATTAAAAAAAGAACATATACATATATTGAAACATTTCGCATTGCGATAGAGAGACGCGCTGCACACCAACCAAGAAGGTGCCGGCGGAGCCGTTCGGCCAACGCGTCCCTGATGAAGCCACTTGGAGCGGACATGTTTGGGCTTTCATAATTTTCAGCCTTTCGCTTTCATAGCATACTTATGAGAGCGCCCACACACACACGCACACACAGAGTGAATGAGAGAGTGAGAGAGAGAAGGAGAGACAGCTCCTCACACTGCAAGTTTTGGGCCAAGTCATTCGCGAGTCACCTCAAAGTAAATATCTCGAAAACATTTTCATTACGTCAATTTGTCGTCGTCATCTCGGTTGCCGCTTCGGTTCGTTGGCTGCCTGATTACTCCTTGGCCTTCCAGCCAGCTCTATTCATAACTGAGCCCAAGATTTTGGGTGGCGGCATCCGGCATCCGGCATCTGGATTGCGCACGCGGCATCCCACCATCGCAGCGTGTAATGAGCCCAGAAATTGTGCTCGCTCCGTGGCAGCCTTGGCAACGCTGCTCCCGATTCTCGGCTGGCAGTTCATCAGCAGTGCGTCTGCCCTACTCCAGGATTTGTATTCAATTTGTGTTCCATCGAGAGCACATCGAGGCATCGGAAGCACTTCCGCCTTCGATGCAGAGTACTGTTGACCTTGGCAGCAATCGCTGGAACTCGATTATCATAAGTTTGAGAATTTAACCAAATCACAGAATATGAAAAGTGGCAAATTGAAAATGAAAACTTTACGAAAGTAAAATCTATTGCTGTAAATATATTCTTATCAGCT